CTTGGATTTGGAACACTGTTTAAATCTCCTATAATAATTAATTTATATTTGTTATTTTGGGTAAGAGAAATTAAGTAATCTTGAATTTCTTTATAATGTTGTTTTTTTTTATAAGTTGGGAAGTATATTTGAAGAAGTCTGATGAGTGTGTTTTTGAAGTAGAAGTCAAGTCCAATTATGTGTCCATTGAAATTATGAGATTTGGCAATATATTTAGAGATTTTTTTGTATATGAATATACCAACATCAGCTTGGTGAGAATTTATATATGAGATCCAGAAACTGATTTAATTTTGAATTTGGTTACTAAAGATTTTTTCTTCTTTAGAAGACAAGTATGTTTCAGAGAGTTCAAATATTTCAAAGTTGTTTTCTTGTAATAGTTCTATTATGGAAAGTTTCTTGTTAAATTGAGAGAGACCATTTATGTTTATTGATCCAATTTTAATTGGTATAGAAGTATGTTCAGGTGTGATTATTAATGGAGTGGAAGGAGGTGTTATAGAATTGTTTGAATAGATTGGTTGATTGGATGTAAAAAGATCAGTAAAGTTTGTGTTAGGAATTGTCCAATTAAAAGATGGTAATAATGGTAAATGACCATATGTATTATAAAGAGAGAGATCTATTTCTGTATAATTTGGTAGTATTTGGTTTGTAGTTTTTAAGTAAATGTGTGATTCTGTTTTTTTGAAGTTTATAGATATTTTTATTGAATTGAAAAAGTTATTTAAATGTAGATGTTGAATGAATTTTTTGAGTAAAACAGATTCAGTGATTTGAGATAGGTTATGTTGAGTTAAGAATTTAGTATAATGTATGCCTATCTTAGTAAAAGATAAAGTATTAGAGGTAGAGATAGTATTTGTAATGTCTTCTACAAAGTTGCTCACCGTTTTAAGCTCAGCTTGCACAGCTATAGAGGATACCATAACCTGCCCTGTACATTGGGTCTGGTCAACATAATTTGGTCCTTTACTACTATAGTTTAATTTAAATAGTTTAATTTAAACTTTATTTACAAAACTTAAAATTTATATTATTATTATAATTGATTTATTATAATTTTATACATATAATAATTATTTATTACATTAAATTAAACTTTTGTTTATAAAATTTTGAACTTAAAATATTAATTACAGTCAAACCTTGATATAATCACCAGGTCAGAAAACAAAAATTAGTGATTATAAAAAGTTGTGACTATATGAAGATCAAAATTTATATGTTTTATATAAGCTAGGAACAAAAAACAAAATGACTATATCAAGGTTGTAACTATATTAAGAGTGACTATAACAAGGTCTGACTGTACTGTTAAATTTTAAAATATTATTTATTTATAGTAACCAATGACAATAAATTTTGCATAAATTTTAAATACTTCATTAATTGTTAAATTTAATAAAATTAATAAATAAATAAATTATGTTTGTAACCTTTTTATATTTATTCTTTTTACTAAACTCTATTTATAAAAAAAAAAAGATCTCTCATGTTATGAAATAAATTAGGATTAAAAAATTATAAAAATGCTATTTCTTTTAATAGACAAAAATTTTCTCATATTTCTTCTTTGCAACAAAAAGATTTTAATACCAACTTGTTTGTGAAAGAACATAAAGATATTAGTAATGAATTGGTTAAAAATTATAATGATATTATAGATTCTTCTAAAGAATTAAGTGACTGTAAAGATATTGATATTGATTCTTTAGAAGAATCAAGTAACAGCATTGATATTGATGATAATTTTTCAGAAGAGCTTATTAGTGATAACTTATATTTAGAATGCATATCAAACACCTTCAAATACTTCAAATAGTTTAAGAGAAAGTTTAGATGATGAGGATTTTTTTAGTGAAATTGTAGACAAAGCCTCCGAATTTAATAATTTATTACAAAGCAATAGTGAATTTTTACTATATTTTGAAAATATAATAGCTGCACTATTATTTTGTTGGATACATAAATATAATATTTGTAAGATCTAATTTGACTTATTAAATTTCATTTTTAGCATTTGATTTTGACACTAATAAAACTATGTACTATTTAGCTACTACTGCATATGATGATCTTGTTGATATAATGCATAATTCTAACTTTGATCTTAATTATATAGTAAAGAATATTAGACATTTTAGATGCTAGAGACATAATCTTTCTTTAATGCCAATTTATTCATAGCCTATTAATATTTCAGCTAAGAAAACTTTATCAAATTCTAAGAATATTAAAAAAGCCTATTATTTATCTATAAAGGATATTATTTGGCATGTATTAAATAATCCTTCTTTAATGAAGTATATGTATTTTAGACCTGGTCAAGAAGTTAATAAAAAGTCATAATATTGGCATGACAATCTATGGGCTGAATCACCACTATTTGGCCAAAAATCAATTACAATTAATAAATGTAAAATTTTTTTTAATAATTATATAATTATTTAATAAATACTAATTTTTTTTTAATTAGATACTTATTATGCTAGTAATTTTATTTATTATCAAGAGAATACAAGAAAATTAGAGTAAATTCGAGCTATTGTTATATTAGAAAAAACATTGAAATTAAAAGTTCAAAAAATGATTGAATATTGTGAACTTCCAAAAAATTTTCAAAGTAATGATAGACAAATTCATTCTTAATTAGATGAAATATAGTTGATTAATAATTCACTTGATAGTAAAGGAATTAAATTAATTGCATTGCAAGATGTCATTGGCCATGCTAGTATTACTACTTCATTATATAGAAACTATGAATTTATTCATAATATAAGTAAAATTCTTTATAAGTTAGATGGTTGCTAGAGAATTAGAAATATTTTATTAGAACATCAACATCCTTCAGAATATACAAAGACTTTTTTATCATCTAATCAGAATCTACAAGTATTAAAGATATTTATAGATCTTTATTATAATAATTTCAAAATATATAGAAATGTTTATTATTCACTTGGAGGCATATATTTACAATTTGGCAACATACCAATATTTTTAAGGAAATTACTAAAAAATTATTTTATATTAGAGTTTATGCCCTTTAGTGGAACTTTTGATGATTTTATTAAACCATTTATTGCAAATATAAAATTATTAGAATGTGGCCAAATAATGAATATTCAAGGTCAAGATTATTTGATTATTGCTAACCTTGGAGTAGTTACAGCTGATCTTCCACAAGAAAATAATCTTGCAAGAATAAAACACTATGATGCTAACAAAGGTTGTAGTAGTAATACAATTTGAAATCAAATTAATTAATTAGTTAATATAGTTGGTAACTAATTAATTAAAAATGGTTGAATGACCAACTGATTGAAAATTTATATTATTAGGTTGTAGAACTTGTCAAGCTTCTAAAGAACAATTAATGAATAATAATTTGGATCTTGCATAGCTATTAAGATATTGTCATATTACAAAAGAGCAACTTAATGAAGTTTTGTCTATTAGTACCACAAGAGAATATAAAATAATTATAACCAAGTATGAATTGTATAAAAAAGCTTCAATGCTAAGCTAATTAATATGGGATCAGCATCTTCAGACATCACAAGATATTTATTACATGACTTTTGGCAAAGTAATATGTCTTCTAAATTTAACTGTTGATTTATTTTCACCAGAAGGCCAAATTTCATTTCTTAAAGCTTGGAAATCTTTTGAATAT